AGATTGTCGGAAAATGATGTTCATTGGATTAGGAAAGGGATTAATCCAATATCACTCATTCTACCCTGCACCTGCGAAATTTCTTTCGCAGTCTCCTTTAGATTGTGTTTAAAAATTCTATTGAAATTAATATTTTTCCTTCATGATGAAGTATATTTTTTACTTATTAAATATTAATAAAAATAATTTTAAATTATTTCTTCAATTTTTCTACTTTTACTCTTTGTTGTATCACTTTTTTTTCAGATGAGCCTTGGAAATGCTGGGTAATTTAGCTCTACTTACATATTTGATTTTGCTATTGTATTTAAAAAAGTTGGTAATTTTAATTGAATTTAAAGTATTAAATTTACTTCAGATTCTTGAAAATATTATTTAATGAATTAGTTATATTTAAAATTCTTTATTCTATTGTTTAGAATGGTATGTTTTTACGTTCACCTGCTCGAAAAGAATAGGTATGCGTGTTAGCTTAAATTATTATTCGTATCCTATCTTAGAAGCATAGCAGGTAAGTTGAATCACCTAAGTAATATATATCATTCATCAGTGAGAAATGTTTTTGCAGTTTATGTGTACCTGCTTCAAACTATTATTTCCTAAAATTGAAAAAAATATATAAAGTTCAATGGAAAATTTAAATTGTTCGGTAACAATGTTTTTCATATCTCCATACAAATATAAACTGTAGCAACAATAAAAAGGGTTATCTTCGATAGCACCAATTTTTCACAGAATCACATTCTTTCATTAGATTAACGTTCGTTTCATTAGGGAGTTTCGAGACGATTTCCCCGAAAAGGAGTGATTAACTGAATTAAAGTCTCAAGTACCAATTACAAAGGATATAAAGAAGAAATAAACTACATTAAAAGAAATGAGTAGCGAGAAACACTTATTTTCAGGAGTTTTTTTCCAGTGTTTTAGCCCAATAACACGATAGAAAAAACAGCAAAAACATTCATTTTATAGAACAGTGTAAGTACAGAATTTCATTACGGAAACACAAAACCTTTTTCTCATAGCTATTAGTGATAGGAATCAAAGCTTGTTTTTGTAGGTATTGCTGTAATTAACTTCATTTCGAATTTTCCTGCGTTCTTCTTCTTTTTTTTTGTAAAAATTAAAATGAAGAAATGAAATTCCAAATTTCTTTTATTTTCATCTTGAAAAAGTAAACATTTAAAATGTTTGGATATTATGATACTCAGAATGTAAGACTTAATATAAAACTGTTATTATTCATCAAAGTGTTTTAGTAAAAATCATTTTATTTTTTAATGAACAACCAATGGTAAATCATTCTTTTCATTATTAGATTACATAAACTATATCAAATGCAAACATTTTGCGTTTAAAGTGAATATTAAAGAATTATTTAACGCTAAAAGCAATTCTTAAGCATTAGGGTTTTTTTCTGCATGCGTTATTTATCTTCACTGAAATAATCAAATGAAGTTTATTTCATATAATAAAATTCTCAAATATTTAAATTACCTGTATTGAAAAATGAAATTACTTTTTTTTTTACTTTATAAAATGAATAATTAAGAAGTATCAAGCAGAATACGAATAATCAGGGTCAAGAAAACTAATATTTTCAAATTTTAAGAGACATCTTTAATGAAACACGGAATAGAATTTAAGTATTAATTCAGAATTTTGGATTAATAATTTTGATTTATCTTTCAACAGTTTCTTTAAACGATAGTCTTTAGTACTGCAGTAACATAATAATTCAGTAGTTTGTTTGTAACTTCATTAACTTCCGAAAAGTTATCTAAATGATAAATAATTCAGAAATAGAATGCATTGCTCGAAAATAATAACATCATATCTTGCCTTTTAGCTATATGAAAAAACAAAGAATGAAATTCTCTTTAGTAATAATTTATTTTAAAAGCTTAACTTGTTATTATTATTTTACTTGTTTTCATATTAGTATTCTGCATAAGTGTGTTCATCAGATTTAATGCTTTTTTTGAATATAATATCATTTCATTTATTTTAGTACAAATATGTTGTATAAATGAGTTTTGTGTTAAATATTTTTAAAACTATTTAACTTATATTTTCCAGCATTTAAAAAAATGACAGATTAATTAAATTTTTATAATAACAAATCATTAGATTTTTAAAAGCTCAATATATTTTATTTCAAGTTAGAGGAAGAATCGTAGCTTATTCACATAAAATGCTCCAATAAGCTTATTTGGGTTCACCCAGAAGTAAACTATTAAATTATGATCATAAAACTGATGGATTTATAAATTCCACTTTTGCCTTCGAAGGTAAAAAAGAATCAAGATTTAAATATTTATTGAATGTTGGTATTTATCTTTGTCAAAAGTTTTAAAATAGAAAACTGTTTTTGCTTAAACATATCAAGTTTCAGTGTTTTAAAGTGAACAAAGACCGCATTCATTTCAGGAGCTATAAAATTGTAAATCAAAGATTTACATTCAGCAAAAATAGTTATACACAATTCATTAGGTGCTCAATCATATAAAGATCGGACGGAAATTTTTAGTTTAGAAATGCTACATCAGAACAATCTGAGTTCATTGTCTTAGAAAAATAAATGGAATACTTGCGAAGTAAATACTATTATTTAAAGTATATTCTTCAAAATAGAATTATAACGTAGAGTTTATTTACATTCATATTATAATGATAATTTACATACGGCATTTAAAATAAGATATAAACAATTTTCTAGCAATCTGCACCTTGAATTAGCTTATTTTTACTTTATTATATCATGTTTGTTATAATTTTCCTTAAAGTGTGTGTTATCTATGATTTAAACTTACGATTTTTTGTTTAATAATCGTAGTACTATATTAGTGTTTAGCCGTTGCCAACCGATGGTCAGTAAAAGAAAATGATGGTCTTCAGGAAAACAGGATTATTATTTCTATTTATATGAAGATTCAGTTTCACCCCCAAATGATGAATAACAAAATGCAATACGGGATATAGGTTGTGCTTTAATTTTAGCTCCTTTCTTCTAAGTTTAAATAATTTCTTGCTAATTTTGCAAAAATATCAATCGATGTTTGAAAGTGAGAATTGGCAATTATTGTAAGTTGGTAGCATAACACTTCAATGTGTTCATAATGATTTGCTTTATCAATTTGTTCTTGCGCTTTTCGGGATGTTTATTTTCAATAATATGGAAATAACAAAATATACGTAAACCAAGTGATAATATAACTATATAGTGGTCCGCACCATATAGATGTCCATCACTTAATTGGTCCACCAAATGAAGCATTATACAGGTCAATTTAAAGGTCCAAGAGGCTCTAAAGTTTAGTGACCACTGCACAACATTAATAAATATAATGTCTAGGTTCATTAAGATATATTTTAGCCAAAAGTAGCACTTGCACCATTAAACCAAACACTCTCTACTTCAGTTGGTCCATTTGTCAAAAATGGAAAAAAATGGTTTTTTCTTCTGCGTCATTTAATGTCATTGCACGTAAAATCTGTTTCATTAATCCATATATATATATATATAGAGAGAGAGAGATAGAGAGAGAGTGAGAGTTCGAATTTAAAATATACAATCATTTTATGTAAATATGTGTGCTATAACTAAGTATTAGACATTGCGTGTTTTGCAGTAAAATATTATGTCATATCATCTGTATCAAAATTATAGTGGCATAACGCTCTTTCATCTTCATTCGATTTTTTTTTTTAAAAAAAGTATCATTTGTTGATACAAAACTTATCATGGCCGAATTTAGAAACATTCTTTCTAGATAAACAATGACGATAGAAGGCAAATAGTATGTAAGGATTTCTCTGGGGCTTTAATCTCAGACTTCCAAGCCGCTTTGGTTTATCCTTTTTCCAAATAGAAATTACCTATTTTTGAGAAATGTTACATATACATTTATTAAGTAAATATCGAAGTATATATCCAAAATGTTAATCTTATCATTTTAAGTAACTCATGTTTCTTATTTTTTAACTTCATGTTCTCAAAATGTGAGCAAATACTGTATGTAACATAATGGTATCTTATAGAGAAGATTTTTTTTTTTTTTTTTTTTTTTTTTTTTGTATTCATAATCATAGTTTTAACTAATGTTACGTTTTCCACCAGTTGATTCAATGATTTTTTCAAATATTTAAATAAAGTCAAATGCTTCAATGCAATATTTAATAATAATTTTTACTGTAGAAAAACATAAACAAGTATAATATATGTACGACGGCAAAATCAACAGCTAGTTTATAATAACATTTAATTGGGTAACATCTGTATGCATTGAATATGCATCAAAAGGTGATTGGATGTTGAACAACGCATTAGATGTACTTTAGATTCAAATATTTGTTTATAATGAATTATATATTATTAGATTTTTTTATTGCGCAGCACTGTGAATTATATATTAGTTTTATAAAAAAAAATATTTTGGGTAATACGGGCTCCCCATTTTCTAAACTAGAAAAAAAATAATTAAATCTTGAAATTGATTTTCATATTTTTATTTAGGTAAATATTATAAATATAGCTATTTTAATTTTAAAAAAAATATGTTAAACAATATATTTCAAATAAAAAGAGTGGTTCCGAACAGTTTTGATGAAACAGAAGAAATTACAATAATGCATGTTATGCCATGCTTTTTTCAATTCCTTCTATTAGTTCACATTCTCCCTATATACATATATATATTATATATAAATATATATATATATATATATATATATATATATATATATATATATATATATATATATATATATATATATATATATATATATTGTTCAAATTGTCAATCATTATGGAAATATCGAAATACTTTTTATTCATTCACTCAAGTTCAAATACATTTTTTAAAACTGGTAATGGATGACACTTAATGTTAATGCAGTTATTTCAAATATTGATTCATTAATTGCATTTAATTGATTAATAAATAGTAACAAAAAATAATTGCTCAACAGCATCTATAGAAAAAAAAGTCGTTCGTTGTGTCCCAGTAGCGGAATGGATAATGCTTTGGACTTTTAATCTAATGGTTGTGGATTCGAAACCTACCTGGGATGGCCTAATTTCTGTGCGTGTGATTTCGTTTTACTATACTACTTTATTGGAATAATTGAATTTAATTAATGACTGAATAATAACAAATTCAATTATACTCCAACACCATAAATAGAACGGAAAATGGAAAATTGCTTGGTAAATCACTTTCTATTTTGACAATTAATATTGAGATTCTGTCATATGTATATAAAATTTCTATTTATTGTAATTATTAATTAAAAAGTAACTAAAATAATTTTTTTTGTTTTGACCTAAGTAAGAATTAACTTAATTTTTAATGTTTTTTTGTCACAATGAAAAGAAGAAAATGGGGCAATTGGAAGGTCAAGTACAAAAATCAAAATTTTTTTATTAAAGTATGGTGTCAGTAAATTATTCATAAGAGGAAAATTAATATTTTCTTAAGAATGATAAAACGAATACATAAATTTTAATTCATTAATCATAACATAGTGCTCAAAAATGCAGAAAGAAACGCTTCTGGGTGTCTGATGTTTTGTTTTCAGCATATGATGACATCTCAATAAGTACCATCTCCTTGCAACATAAAAAAATGGTAAACTGATTTGAATTGATTATTTAATTCATATTCGTTGAATTAAAGCAAATGGGAGCACTAAAGTAGCTGAAAGATCGCCTAAAGGATATCTTTTATCAGAAGGAAAATATCTTGTCTGACACTAGGAGTGAATCTAAAAAAAACCGCTCTTGTAGTCGTGCATTAAATTCCGCTTTCGGCAGTTTCAAAGAGGATACTTAACATTCTAAAATGCTTGGACGACAGAACTCAGAAAACGGTTTCCCTCGTCAGATTGAGCAATTTCAAAACTTTAAGGTGGGAGAAAATTGTGTTAAGTTTCATATATATATATTGAAGATCGGGTATAATAAATGTACATTCTTACAGAATGCAGATTGTTCGTTTGAATTAAAATAATTTAGTTTGAATATCATTAACAAATTTTTCACGTATATATCATTTAGAATAATAATTTAACTAGTGACTAAACATTAAACATTAATAATCAATAATGTATTTTGTTATCCATACTAACATTATAAGACTTACATATAAAGAGTTCCCATTATGAAAAGAAACATATATTTTCCTAACGTATATTTGTTAGGGATGATTGTACGTAAACATCTAGTAAATAAGATATGTATTGTATTTCTTCTTTCTTGATATGTTTTACTGTGTTTTCACATTTATTTAAATGACATTTTTTTATAGATGACTGGTATAAAAATTAATAGTATTAAAATGATAGCTGTATTGTTAATAACGCTCAATGGGCTCAAAATTGGGTTTCACAGCAGAAGGTTATTGTTTTGCAACTCATATGGTATTTAAATATTTGCTCCATCTAAAAATCAAGAGTGTTAAGTTTTATTCAATGTTGGTCACTATGCATATTGTTAACATAACTTAAAAATACAAATCTAGCATTAAAACACAGAGGTTGTAACAGAATTTTGTAGAAAAGAGTTTTTCCCGGTGTGTTTAGAAAGAGAAAATAATTAACTGAATCAAGTGGTAATAAATGAAATAAAAACTGTTTTGGGATCCATTCGATTTGAAATGGTTTTATCATCATCTTGCGAGAAATTGACAAATATTTTACATCTCAGTATGTATAGTTTGAAAGAAAGTAAAATTACAGAACAAGTTGATTTTTTTTATTTAAACGCTTGGAATTATTTTTACAAATGTGTTTTTTGCTTTTAATTACTATAATGATTTTTTAAGCTTATAGGTTGATGATACCAATATTTCTTAAAAAAGTTTGTTATGTAAATTCATAAATAAAGTTAATTTTAAAATAAAATAAAAATATGTCATCCTATTTTAGTTCTCAGATTTTCTTCTCTTTCACTGAAGTGATTCATATTACCTGACGTTTATATTGGAGATTTCATAATACACCTAACTTATCCTCAAAAGAACGATCGAATGTTCCTTTCTATATGGGGTGCTTCAAACGGTTTTCAAAATCAATAATTCAATCTTTCTATATAACAATTCTGTGAATTCACTCAGACAAAAAACGGATAAGTTCTTAACTTTTTGAGTAAATCATATTGGAAAAAAGGCATGTATACAAAACGTATTCCTGGAAATAACACAAACAAATCTATCAATGAGATTTTTTTTTCAAACAAAAATGCAAATTTCATTTATTTTTTAATTTTTTCTCTTCTGATAAATTTTATTTAAATTTACAAACTTAATATAATAGGGTTTCTAATGTATATTAAACTGAAGAATTCCGTTGATATAAAGTATTATATTTTGAAAATTATAAACTTCATTCAATTTTCTTAAATATTTTTTTTTTAAATTTCTCTTCAAATTGTTCGTGTGCAACAAATTGGAAAAATTAAATCATAAATAAATTTTATTTAAAAGTATATACATCATAATATAAACAGCAACCAGAAGTCCAAATTAATCTATTATTTGTGACATTGTTTCTGCTTCAATACATTCTCTTTCTCAACCATTGATCAATATAGAACTGCATGAAAAATTAAACAGTTACTTGAAACATGAAGATTTATAAACAACGTATATGTCTGTATATTTGAAAATATATATGCTTTCCGTCTGTATTAAGGTAAGATTTAGAAATTAAAGTGCATTTAAAATAGATTTTTTAGAAATAATTTCTGTAAATGACATAAATAAGTAAGATATATTTTGGATGCATGAGATAAAATGAAATATATTGTTTTTATGACAGATATATATATATATATATATATATCCATAAATATACACAAATAGCTGTGAAACCTAAGTATAACTAGTCAAGGTAAGATGAAATAGTAGCCACAATAATACAATAGCTAACTCTTGGTCTTAGGAAACAAGATTGCAGTTTTAAACAAGGTTGTGGGGCCATCCAACATTAACGTGTAATTTGCCTATACTCTGAACCAAAAGGAAAGGAAGGAATATTAAACTAAAGATATTTAAATATTATAAATAAAATGCACTTTACAATATACTATAAAAATATAACTATATATATACAGGTTGTCCAGCTTTAATGTGACCCGATAGCTAATTCCTGAACCGTTCGGTTTAGATATGTTCTTACAGTTTTAAAAGTATGTTTAAAAAGGTAATAAATGTTTTTACTTGCTTTTCGAAGCAAAAAACCCATTTAGAAAAAAAATTAAAAACATTAAATTTGTATATGGTTCCCAGGTCCTATCACATATATTTAGGAAAAGATGCAGTATAAAAAACAAAATAAACACAAAAAGTTTCATTTTATTACGATGAAAACTGGCTGAGTTAAGAAGCTTTAAAAATCATACATTTCATACGTTCTCTAGACCATTTTCAAGAAGCCAGTAAGGTGCCATCTCCAAAGTGAAATTAATTGTAACTCTGCCATGAAACTTTTGCTCTTGCACCTTCATCTTATTTAAGTCGTTTTTAAATTTAAAAGTACATACTTTATGTTCATAATACAATAATTGAGTACATAAGAAATAATTTTTTTGTGTACGCGTAATGCATAGACAAAATAAAATATTTCGGATGAAGAAAATATTTCAAAAGCAGTTCCAAAAAAATAGACTTATTTGCTGTGGTACTGATCATGGCGAACTTTAAAAATCTGTTGTGCAGTCACTTGCAATTGCATACAGTTGCATTCTAATATTACAAATTCTATTAGAGAAGAACGAGATCTATACCAATGAGGAATACTGTGAAATATTTCTGTTGTATGGGCAGCGTAATTGAAATAAGAGAGAAGCGGCAAGACTTTATGCCATTAAATTTCCCAGTCGAAGATAACCATCTTATTGCCCGTGCTGTTAAACGCTTGCACAAAACTGGGATTTGTCATAGACGTTTCCCTTGTCTCGTGCCACACCTTCAAGCTTATGGATATCCACTGAGGATGTTCTAGGACATGTCCTGACTCATCCTGAAAGTAGTGTCCGGGATATTAGCAAGGCTTGTTCCTACTCAAAATCGACGGTGGGGAGCATATTACATACGTACGGTGCTAATCCTTAAGCTTCCTATAAAGCAAAGTGTCCGAGCGTGAATCCACGAGTAAATACGATTTACTCAATCGAATCAAGGTGGCATGCAAATCTGTGACACCAAATATGTTTCAGAAGCTACAGGCGGAGTTTCTGACGCGGGTTCGGTACTGCATTTCTGCGGAAGGAAGTCGTTTTGAACATTATTTAAGTTAATTTGGTCATTCTGATATAATAAAGGCCCTGGTTCGCGATTGGCGTATCATTCCACAGTATGCTATAATTTGAACGGCAAATACTGTATTTTGTTGCTGCTATTCGTTAAAACAAGCTGTTTTAACCTTTTCGGTACAAGTTGTATTTCTTTAATTTAACTTTTATTGTTTGCGATACAGCAATACAAATTGTCAATCTATGATGTTTATTATGATGTTTTTCATTTGTTCTTTCTGTAGATAGTGAACTACTGTTCTTTAAACTCAATTTATATACGATCCACTTTTCTGAGCGCAGTTCAGATGCTTCAACTTTATGCAGGCATAACTCGATGAGTTTTTATTGTAAAAAAATGAAACTTTTTGTGTTTACTTTGCTTTTGTGTAGTGCATATTTTCCTAACTGTGATAGGACCTGAAATATTTTCTTAATTAAGCGATTAAAAATATAGTTCAGCTATTACATTAATTAAGAATCAAATAGTAGATAGTATATGGAATTTTTTTAACCATTATTTTTTTTAAAAAAAATGTTTTGATTATATATTCCTTTGACGACCATTTTTAAGCAAGATTTCCTTAAAATCTGCAGTGTATTGCGAAAAACTATTGAGACGACTTGGTACCCCAAAGAGGACTGAACTATCGTTTTTTGTCATTTTTATTAAATCTTATTCTTTGTATTATTATCTTTCGATTGATGTATCACTTTTGCAAGTCGAAGAGTTAGAAGTTGGATAAAAATTCACTTGAAAAATGTAAATTAACAAATTAGG